CAAAGACTTGAAGTCCTTTCAAGAATCAATTGCATGAAGGGGCGCCTGGGTGGCTCGGTGGTTAAGTGTCTGCTTTTAGCTCAGGTCATGATCTTAGGGTCCTGGGATCGAGCCCCAAGGTGAGCTCCCTACTCAGCTGGGAGTCTGCTTCTCTCTCTCCCTCTGTCCCTCTCCTTCCCCCACCCCCCGTTTTCCCCCTTCTCCCCTACTCATGTGCTGAGTGCTCTTTCTCTCTCCCTCTCTCTCTCCCAAATGAATAAATAAAATCTTTTAAAAAAAGGAATCAATTGCGTGAAAAAAAAGAAAAAGAATCAGTTGCATGAGCTGGTAAGGAAAATTGATGGCCCCTTCCACCCCTAATCCTATTATGATTCTTGGTCCACTTAGACCCTGGGAACTTTTTTTTTTAACCATCCCAGTCAAAGCCTTCATCTCACTTGCTAGAGACACCAATCTGCTTCCTTCCTCTCTGCCTACACCCTATCTACCCAGGTGATGGGACTACAGTGGGGGCTTGGAATAAGGGTGTGCAGAGAATGAGGTGTTGAAGCTTCATGGGGGGATAGCCAAAGGGATCCAGGAAGTGAGAACTCCAGGTATTCTTGGTCTTGGGTTTCCCCACCAGTTCGAGCATCTTCAGCTTCCTACATTGCCCGCCCCCTTATTTGCCACACTCAACTTCCTGCCCCACCAGAGGAAGTGGGGAGAGATAGCAGGTGCAGCGACAGCTAGCAGGGCCATGGTGAGTCCTTCTGCCCCAGAATACAGGCATCTCTGCCCTCAGCCCCCAACCCCCAGAGTAGCCAGGTTCAGGTCAACCCACAGCAGGCTGACTTCTCCTCACCCACAAGGTCAGGTTATCCTGGGGGCCCAGCCCGCTGCTCCCAGCAGCCTCACACTGTCCCCCACCACAGGACAAGGAGTATGTGGGTTTCGCCGCCCTCCCCAACCAGCTGCACCGCAAGTCCGTCAAGAAGGGCTTTGACTTCACACTCATGGTGGCAGGTCTGATGGGTTTTGGACAGGGGACTGGTTGGGGGAGGCTTCCCCAGATACCCGGGCTGTCTCCTCACCTGACCAGGTGGGTCTGTCCTGCCTACAGGGGAGTCAGGCCTGGGAAAATCCACCCTCATCAACAGCCTGTTTCTCACCAATCTCTATGAGGACCGGCAACTGCCAGAAGCCAGTGGTAAGACCCTCCTGACCTCTCCAGGGACTCTGTCTCTCCCATCCCCAGGCTGCACTCTCTTTCTTTTCATCTGGGTCTCCCCTGACTTTCTGGGGGACTTGGGCAGCTCACTGCTTTTCTCTGAGACTCCCCTAAAAATGGGTGGGGGTAACTGTGATTCTGAGAAAGGAAATCAGTCCTGGCTCAGACCCCTACCCAGCTCCCTGACCTCTCCCCGTCCCCACAGCTCGCTTGACACAAACGCTGACCATTGAGCGCCGGGGTGTGGAGATCGAGGAGGGGGGTATTAAGGTGAAACTGACCCTGGTGGACACACCTGGCTTTGGGGACTCCGTGGATTGCTCAGACTGGTGAGGAGCAGGGGAAGGAGCGGGGACTAAGCTTCCCAATGTGGCTACTCTATGAAGACTGAGGGGTCAGTTCCAGGGCTGGTCTGCTCTGCCCCTGCCCTCCCCAGAGGGTGGGGCCTGTTTCTGGTGGCCATGTGGCCCAGAGTGCCCTGTGCTTCCTGACATCTGACCTAAACACCGCCAATCTCCTTTGATGTCTTTGGTCGGACCCCAAGAAACTAGTTCCTACCCCCACAGTCCTGGCTAACCTTGGCGCCTTCCCTGCCCTGTGGACCCTCATCTCTGACCTACTCTCTTGCCTTACACCCCAGCTGGCTGCCTGTGGTGCGCTTCATTGAGGAGCAATTTGAGCAGTATCTGAGGGATGAGAGTGGCCTGAACCGGAAGAACATTCAGGATTCCCGTGTCCACTGCTGCCTCTATTTCATCTCACCCTTTGGCCGAGGGTCTGGGGACACCCTGGGGGGTTGGGGTATTTGGAGAGGGATGGGGAGGGTTTCTGTGGCCTAAGGCTGAGCCCTGACCAATCACTCTGTGCAGGCTCCGGCCCCTAGATGTGGCCTTCCTCCGGGCAGTGCACGAAAAGGTCAACATCATCCCAGTCATTGGCAAAGCAGATGCCCTGATGCCTAAAGAAACCCAGGCCCTCAAGCAGAAGGTATGTCTGGTGACCCCTGATCTTTGGTCCTACATGAAGCCAGAAGTCGTTATCAAACCTGAACTCAGCTTTGACTTCTTTGATCTTGGGATTGCCTTTTGGAAGTATAATGTGTCAAGCTACACTGTGGGAGAAAGTTTCCAAGGAAGGTGGGTAGTAAGCTGGCTGAAGGAGCCATGTCTCCGGAGGCCCGGAATAGAATCCCTGGACTGGATGCTTGGCTGAGGCCTGTCTGAGGGCGGCAGCAAAGACATGAGGACTCTTGATATCCCTCCAGCCCCAGGATGATGACCCGCCTCGTGACTTCAGAGGCCTCTCCTACTGTTTATGCTTAGGCCTCTCTCTCCTGAGCCTCTGGTGTCGGCCTCATCTTACAATCTTTCCAGGCCTCAGTTGTCCCTGTTAGGGTGTCTTTGTCTTGTTTTCACCATCTACATCTCTCATTGTCTGAGGGTTTGTTTTTTTTTAAGATTATTTATTTATTTGCAAATTTTTATTTATTTTTTAAGTAGGCTCCACGCCCAGTGCGGAGCCCAACACGGGGCTTGAACTCACGACCCTGAGATCAAGACGTGAGCTGAAATCAAGCTGGATGCTTAACCCACACTGAGCCACCCAGGCGCCCCAAGATTTTAAGTAATCTCTACACCCAATGTGGGGCTCAAACTCACAACCCCAAGATCAAGAGTCACATGCTCTACTGACTGAGCCAGCTAGGCGCCCCCTCTGAGATTTTGGTTTGGGGCATACTGTATGTTACCATCTCTGTCTTTCATGTCTTCCTCTCTGTCTCTGACCACCTGGAACCTGTATCTCAGTGTCCAGCCATGCAGTGTCTGCTGCGCACAGCCTCTGTTTCTCACCGTCTGTGCATGTCTGCTCCTAGATCCGGGACCAGCTGAAAGAGGAGGAGATCAACATCTACCAGTTCCCCGATTGTGACTCTGATGAGGATGAAGACTTCAAGAGGCAGGATGCAGAGATGAAGGTGCAGAGGCAAAGGAGGAAGGGGCAAAGAAGCAGGAGAGGCAGATGTGGAGGTGGAGGCTGACAACGAGGTTTCTGCCCAGGGGGGGTCCAACGGTGATTGCTGACTCCTGCCCTCCAGGAAAGCATCCCTTTCGCAGTCGTTGGTTCCTGCGAGGTAGTGAGGGACGGCGGGACCCGTCCCGTGAGGGGACGCTGCTACTCCTGGGGTACCGTGGAGGGTGAGTAAGGTGGGCACGCGTTCTGAGGCCAACAGGGAGCCCAGAATGCCTCTGAGTCAACAGCACCCAACATATGAAGTTGGGGCGATCTCTGGTCCCGGCGGTCCTAAGGGCCAAAAGAGGGGTCCTTGGACTGCAGACCCTCACCTAGAGCCGGGGCAGGACTCCGGGCCGACTGGACCCGGCCAATAGGGCTGGACCCGAAGCTCCCTGACGCTCGCCGGTCCGCCCCTCAGTGGAGAACCCACATCATTGCGACTTCCTGAACCTGAGACGGATGCTGGTGCAAACACACCTGCAGGACCTGAAGGAGGTGACCCACGATCTGCTCTACGAGGGCTACCGAGCCCGCTGCCTACAGAGCCTGGCCCGGCCTGGGGCTCGTGATCGAGCCAGCCGTAGGTGAGAGCCCGACCTGAGTCCCAGGGGCTCCCAAGACCCGGCCCTCACTGTCCCGGACCCGGCCTTCACCATCCAGACCACCCTTCCAGAATCTCTCCCCACCCACTTTGCTTACGGCATTGAAAGGACATATGGCCCTGCCTCCTAGGCCCCAACGTCGCCCCACGCCCTGCCCCGCTTCTGCGACCCACAACGGAGGGTCCCACTCTTGATTCCCTGTCCCTTTTCCCACGCCCCCTAGTAAACTCTCCCGCCAGAGCGCCACAGAGATCCCGCTGCCCATGCTGCCTCTGGCCGAGACCGAAAAGTTGATCCGCGAGAAAGATGAAGAGGTGAGCAAGTACCTCGCTCCCCCTCCTCCCCCCAAGGCCCCAAGTCCTCTTCGAAGTCCCTCTCTGGCCTCCCCGATCCCACGCCTACAATCTTGCCCCGCACAGCTGCGTCGCATGCAAGAGATGCTGGAGAAGATGCAGGCCCAGATGCAGCAGAGCCAGACTCAGGGAGAGCAGTCGGAAGCTCTCTGAGGACCCCGCAGGGCCCCGCTTTACCTCGGCTCCGCCTTCAGTCGGTCTCCCATCCAATCCTGGAGCCCCAGCCTGAGAGGTCCGCCTCCGCAGGGGGCTCACCGGCTAACGGGTTCTCCCAATCCCAAATCTGTGGCCCCGCCTTTGGCTCCGCCCCCACCCGGCCCCGCCCCAGCTTCCAGCTCCGCCCCTGGCCCCACCCCCGCCGCTCTTCACCCAAGCTGTGACTTCAATAAAAACGGTTTCAGGGCTCCTGGGTGGCTCAGTCGGTTAAAGTGTGGGACTCTTGATTTCGGCTCAGGTCATGATCTCAGGGTCTGGGATTTAGCGGCCTTGGGCTCCCTGTTCAGCGGGGAGTCGGCTAGACATTTTCTCTCTCTCCCCCTCCCTCTGCCCCTCCCGTTGCTCGCGCGCTCGCTCTCTCAAATAAATAAATGGGTAAATCTTAAATAATAATAATAATAAAACACAGTTTCCCCGAGGCCACGCGAGTCTTACTTTCTCAGAGGGAATAAGTGGCGGGTGTAGCGGGTGGAACGAAACCGCCCCACCCAGACCTCCCAGCCACTAGTTATTCATTTGTTGTGCGCTGGCTTCGTGCGGGGCTGTGTTTTAGCACCGCGTCCCACCTAAGCCCCTCTCCCACAAACGCACCGAAGGCGCCGCCGCTAAGAAACAACGACCAGTTTAGTTTTATTAGAGTCGGGTGGGGGGGTCGGACTGGCAGCAAGGCGTTGGCCAGCAGAGGCCTAAGAGGGTGGGTCCCCTACTCCTGGTCCTTGGCATCGCCATGCGTGATGACGTAGCAGATGTTCTTGTAGTCTACGTTGCCTCCCACGTCGGGGGGGAAGGCTGCCCACATGTTCCTGATCTGGGGAAAGATTCAGGGGCGTCTCCTACCCTTTTCGTATGCTCCCCTCCCCCCTCCCTCTGCTTCTCCCGGGCCCTCCCCGCCCCCTCACCTCTTCCTGGGAGAAGCGGTCACACTGCGTGGTAAGCAGCTCCTCCAGGCTGGAGAGAGGTGACATATGGGGAGTTGAGATTGGGCTTCGTGGTTCCTTTCCACTCCCTCCCATCTCATCCTGGTTGCCATTCCTAGTATCAGCTTGAAAACCCAAGTCACTCTAGATCCCTCACTGGTCTCCCAAGCAGTCTGGCCTCTCTGCTTTTGCTCTTCCCTTCCCATATGTGCTGTGAAAATGTAATCCTATAGCCCATTTCCACAGTGCTAATTTTTCCCTTATCCCCTCCCTTAATACCTAACCTTTGCTGAGAATTTAAGGAGGCTTGGACACCTGGGTTAAGTCAGTTAAGCGGCTGCCTTTGGCCCAGGTCATGATCCCGGGGTTCTGGGACTGAGCTCTTCTCTTCTTCTGGTCGTCTGGTTGCTGCTTCTCCCTCTCCCTCTGCCCCCCCTCAAATAAATAAAATCTTTAAAAAAGAAAAGAATTTAAGGAGGCTTTCTGTGTGTGAGCAGCTGGAGAGGGTCACTTACAACTGCTTCTTGATGGTGCCCTTCCCCTCAGGGTCCAGGACCTTGAAGGCTCCAGTGATCACGTCCTCAGGGTCAGCACCTGGAGGATCAGAAGGCACATGAAGCTAAAGGGTCCTTGAAGGTTCTGTCCCTGAGAGGTCTGGGGAGGGGCAGCTCGGGGCTTAGACCCAGGACACTTCATTCACCTTTGAGCTTCTCTCCAAACATGGTCAGGAAGACAGTGAAGTTGATGGGACCACTGGCTTCCTTCATCATGGCATCTAGCTCCTCATTCTTCACATTGAGGCGCCCTGGAGCAGGGTGGGGGAAGCTGGAGTAGGGTCCTGCGGCCAAGGGTTGATCCTTCCCATAAATTCAGACCATCCCACCCATTTTCCTCTGGGTGGACTGAGGCCCAGGGTGGAGCCAGCAAGGCTGAAACCCAAGGCTTCTGAATTCCCAGGACTCTGTAGCCTTGAATCTTTATGGGTGGGATAAGGGGCTCACCCATGGCTGCGAAGGTGTCCCGCAGATCTTCCTTGTCGATAATGCCATCACGGTTCTGGTCGATTACTGTGAAGGCCTGTGGAAGGCAGGGGCAGGGAGGGGTTAGGTCCCCCATGGCCGGGCTTCAGCATCCCTACCCCAGGCAGATCAGATTCTGGCCCCCAGCCAGCTGTTCTTTTGCATGCCAAATGAGGAGGGGAGCAAGGAGTTCTAAGCCCTTCCCCTCCCCCCAAAACAGGTGCACATTCCAGGGAGGGGGTGTTGGGGGGAGGGGCGGCAGGGGGGGCCTTTGGTTAGTCTTCAGTCTCCCTTCTCCCCTTACTCACCTCCTTGAACTCCTGGATCTGAGTCTGGTCAAACATGGAGAAGACGTTGGAGCTTCCGCCCTCTGCCACTGCCCTTCTCTTGGCCTTCTTGGGTGCCTGGGGGTTGAGGGATGGGTAAAGGGGTCCATGGGCCAATCCCTCCTCTTCTCTGGAGGCAATTAGATTCAGGCTTCTTTGAGTCATTTTTCTAAAGCAACTCTTCTGGTTCTAGGCTTTCCCCTCCTTATGAGCTCTTTGCTGAGGGACTTGCTTTGATTGTATCCCCAAATTCCTATCCTCCATTCTACTGAACAAGTCGAGTCCCCTTCTCAGTGCCCTGAGCTTGCCTCCTCTGAGTCCCAGACTTGCTGTGTGACCCTGATCTACTCATTCACCCTGTCTGAATCTTGACTCTCCCATTTATAAAATGGGAGTTGGATTCCTTGCCTGATTGGTCCCAGAGGGTTTTAGGAAGAGGGAGTGCAGGAAGGTATGGAGCATGCTTTGAGAGGGATGGGTCTCCTGTGAGTGGAGAGTTTGGGCAGACTGGGTTGGGTCATTTAGGCCATCGTTCTGTACGCTCCTCATTAGCAATGCCAAGAAAGGGAAGATTCATCTGTTTCCTCTTACTGGACTGGGAATCAGCTACTTTCTTTTAAAAAGTGAGGCTGCCTTGAGGTCTGAGGGATCTGGGTAGGGGCTGGAGGATTCTTACTCACCATGTCTTCAGTCTCCTGGGGGCAAGGCAGTGGCTCTGGCTGGAAAGGAGCAGAGTCAGCCTGTGGCGATCCCTCTGGGGTTATATAGTCCTGCCCCAGGGAGCCCTCAACATACCAGGGTAACCTTAGCCCTGTGGGTGCCCACCCCAGATACCAAAATAGCCTGGCTCAGGGCCTCTCCTTTCTTGGAGGGCCGGCAGCAGCTGGAGCCCAGGGAGGGAGGAGGGAGTGGGTCTTGGGATGCATGTCTCACTAGGACCTGGGCAGGAAGGGATGTTCTCTTTCCCAAAGGGGGCTCGAATGTGCCTGAGTTCAGAGAAGACCCAAACTGAAGCATTATACTGGGAGAAAGATAAGTCAGGCCCCTGTACCCCTGAGTGGGGTGGGTCCAGATTTATTATTTATTTAAAAAATATTCCTTATTTTGAAATTAACATTTTTATGTTTCTATTTATTTGTGTTTTTTTTAAAGATTTTTTATTTTTAAATTTTAATCGCTACACCCAACGTGGGGCTCATACTTACAACCCAGAAATCAAGAGTTGCATGGTCTACCAACTGAGCCAGCCAGGTGCCCCTCCAGATTTAAAGCCAGTAAAATTATTGAGCACTTACAGTATGCCAGGCACTGGGCTGTGCCTCATGGGTGCCCCCTGGCAAGCATAGTCCCCCACTCCCATTCTGGAGTTCACAGTCAAGTATATGTATGTTTGTGGGGTAGTGGCAGAGTTGAAAGGGAGACAGCTGTCTAAGAAGCTGAAGAATCAAGAAGGTCTTCCAAATCCCCTTTGGTGGGGGCAGGGAGGATGTTTCAAGAAAAGATGCCAAGCATAGAATGACCAGGTAGAAAGAGGCTAGGGCGCCTGGGTGGCTCAGATGGTTAAGCGTCTGCCTTCGGCTCAGGTCATGATCCCAGGGTCCTGGGATCGAGTCCCGCATCAGGCTCCCTGCTCCTTGGGAGCCTGCTTCTCCCTCTGCCCCCCTCTCTCTCTCTCTGTCTCTCATGAATAAATAAATAAAAAGTTTAAAAAAAAAAAAAAAAAGAAAGAGGCTAGACAGCCTGGAGCAGAAAGCCTGCTCTGTGATCTTGCGCTTTGTGCTTTAACTCCCTGGGCCTTGTCTTCCCCATCCCACAGAACTTGTGGATATGCACACTATTTGGAAACAGTTTAGTGAAATATAATCATTACAATTAATATTTATGCCTTGCCTTAGTGGACTTACAGCCTAGCTGTGGAGACAGGATAAAGGCAGAAAATGTCATAACAGCTGATTAGGAGCACAAAAGTAGAGAGCAGAGCAGCCCTGTGTGGGACTATGGGGATGACTTTATGAAGGCCAGGAAAAGTAAGTCAGGTGAAAGTGGAGGGGCAAGCATGCTAAGCAGAGAGCACAGATGGACAAAGGCCTGGAGAAGTGAAAAATCAGATTGCCAGATGGTGATAGGGCTGGAGCAGAGGGTGCAGGCTGGAAACCAGAAATTGGAGGGTCTTCCATGCCAGGCTGAGGATTGAGACCTTGGGAGCCTTGGAAAAGTTTGACACAGGAGAACATAATCTGAGTCCATAATCATTTCTTTGGATCCTACTGTGAAAGTTGGAACTCAGAGGAGGGGGGTCAAAATACCAAGAGGGAAGCTAGTTGGTCACCTCCTTCCGGGTGGCTGGGATGGCCAGTGGCTCCTTTCTTCATTCTGGGCAAGAACCAGTTTGGCTGACTGTGTGACTTTGAGGTACCCTCTCCTGGGGAAATAGTGGCTGAGGAAGCCCCCCACGAGGCCAAGGCTGGCAAGGACACACGTCTCCTCCTTCTCTTGCTCCCTCTAGGGCCCGATGTCCTGAGGAAGGTGACTCTTCCCTTTGCCCTCCTCCAGTCTCATGCCAATGCCTCTAAGACATTTTCTTTTCTGGGCACTGGGGCCCAGCCACCTGTTGTCTCTAAGAAGAGAGAAGGAGCCACCCTAAACTTAGCAGCTGCCCTTGGCCTCCTACACCGGCCCCTCCCTGCCTCAATCGACAGCTGCCTCACCTTATACGGTTACCATGGGGGTCTAGGCCCAGGGAGGAGCCCACTTAATTCTGGGTTCTGGGAGGGGAGAAAAACTCCAAAGAGGAGAAGGGGAAAGTGCTCAGGTAGCTTGGGTCAAATGGAAAGTGGGGAAATTGAGGAGAAGGAGATCAGGAGCTGTATATCTAACTCTGACACTGAATGAGAGTACACAGGATCTGGGTCTGAGCTGGGAGCAAGTAGCCTAGGAGAACTCAGAAACCAAGGAGGACCTGGGACGTTGGGAGCTAGGCTTGACTGAAATTTCAGGATGGTGGACTCTGTATGGAAGTTGGGGCCCTCTAACCCTGAGGCTCAAAGGGATGGGGGTCAGAGAGAGATGGGACTCCTAAAGTCAGGGCTTTGTGTTTGTGATCTATGGTAGCCTGGGGGCTCGTGAGATTGGGGTCTGCTTTCTTAGCAGAAAATGAGGAGTACAGAGAGGTGTGGCAGTGATGGGAGAGGAGGTGATGGGACAGGTCCTGGATCCCCCAAAGAATAAGAACACAGATATGGGAGTTCATGTTACTGGGAATTCATGGTTTGGGGTCTAGGATACCCACTAGAATGGGGGGGCACTCAGAGGATGAGGTCCAAGGAATTAGAGCCTGGATTCTGGGGAGGAGATGAGATAGATGGGGGAGGGGAGGTGTTGAGGAGAAGGACTTAGGGCTTGGGATTCCCATAGGAAATGGAGGATCCAGGGAGATGGGTCACTTAGAGGATTTGGGGGCTCTGGTAATAGTCGTCTGGGCTTTGAGTGTTGAGGTTGGTTGCGGGTCGGAATGAAAATTAGAGACAGAGTGGAGGTTGAGAGTACTTGATCAGGGCACTGGATCTGTGGTGGGGTCTTACAGACCACCAGAGTGAGGCGGCTCTGGATGGAGAATGGGAGTCCAGGGGGCCCTTGGCTGGCTTAGTCGATGGGGCATGCGGCTCTCCATCTCAGGGTCGTGAGTTCAAGCCCCACCTTGGCTGTGGAACCTACTTAAGAGAGAGAGAGAGAGAGAGAGAATGGCAGCCCAAAAAGGACTCAAGCAAAGCAGCGCTGCGCTCTTATTGGCTAAGGACTGCTCTAATGTCCCTGGCCCCCGCCCCCTCTCGGCGCTGTCCCCAACTGTCACCCCCTCCTGCGCTTGTCTCCGGTTGTCACCGATATCCCTGCGCTGGCACCGCCGCTGGCGGCTCCCCTACCCTTTGGATGCTGCCATTGGCTGAGACAGCCGTCTATCTCCCTTCCCTGTTGCTAAAGTGTGGGAATAAGCTCATTGGCTGACGATGCAAATTAATAGCAATTCTGGCCCGCCCCCCGCCCCCAGCTGTCATTCCTTCTTGACCTTCTTGGGAGACCTAAAGAATTCCTCAGCTCTTCCTATTGACTGCAGATGCTGTCTGTCACCGCCCAAAGAGACACCACTGTCTGTCAACTTGACCTCCTCCTACTCCCCTTTTTCATTGGCTCCCTTTTTACTGTTTCCATTGGCCAGGTTGGCCTCTTCTCGCGCAGCCCCCGCCTCCTTCCGTGGTCATTCACTCTCCAGCCTTTTTTACTGGCCAGGAGGTTCAGCTTCCCGCTTTTCTATTAGTTATCTCTTTCGTTCCACCTCCTCCTGCCTTCACTCACCCTTTCATTGGTCTTACAGCCCTCCGCCTTCTCCATTTCCTCTTTCCAAATTACCCGGCCCCTTCCCACCTCCAACCCCACCCACCCTCCCAACGATTGGCAGAAACCCAGTTCCCTCTCTCCTATTATTCGTCCAAACACTCTGACAAGGCGGGAGAAAAAAAGGAGCGCGATGGGACTGCCCGCGCGCAGGCGTGAAACGCCGAAACGCTGGCCGCTTAGCCGGCACTGGGGCATGTGCGCAGGCGCGAGGTCGGCCGCTCGCCTGAAGCAGGAGGGAGGGGGAGGCGGCGAGAGAGCGCAAGGGGTGAGAGGGCGCGAGCGGGACCCCCGCGCCTGGCGCCCCGGGACCCCTGCCACGCCTCTGCGCGCCGGGCGGCGGCCCGCGCGCCGCCCCCGTCCCCGACGCGCGCCGGGCCGCGCCCTTAGCCTTCTCCCCTTCCTTGGCGGGCGGCGCGGAGCGGCCTGAGGGGCGGCGCCTTCTGCGGCCGCCCCGGCGGGGGGATGTGAGGGGAGGCCCGCGGCCATGGAGACGGGCCCGGCGCCCTTGGTGGCCCCGCCGCGCCGTCATGGCGCCCCCGCGGCCCCCTCGCCGCCGCCCCGCGGCTCCCGGGCCGGACCCGTCGTGGTGGTGGCTCCGGGGCCGCCAGTGACCACGGCCACTTCGGCCCCGGTCACTCTGGTGGCCCCCGGGGAGGCGCGGCCCGCCTGGGTACCGGAGCCCATCCAGACCTCGGCCCCGGCCCCGGCCTCGGCCTCGACCGTCACGAGCAGCACAGTGGTGGTGCTGACGCTGGAGGCCTCACCCGAAGCCGCGAGGGCGCGGGTCTCCCCTGGCTCAGAAGCCCTGGTGCCCGCGGCAGTGGCAGGAGCCGGGATGTCTATGGCTTTGGGCCCGGGGGCAGACTCTCCGAAGACGGAGGAAGCTAGAAGCTCCAACGCCCCTGGACCAGGTACCCCCACCGGGACCCCCACCAGGACCCCTTCCAGAACGGCTCCTGGGGCTCTGACCGCCAAACCCCCGCTTGCCCCCAAGCCGGGAACCACAGTTGCCTCAGGAGTGACTGCGCGGGTTGCAGCAGTGACAGCAGGACAGGTGACAAGTGGACATGGAGCTGCAGGAGCAACATCAGCATCAACTGAACAGGCTCCAGAGGACCCCTCAGGGCCTGGCCTAGGCCCTTCAGGGACATGTGAGGCTCTGGTAGCTGTCGTGACGGTCACGCCAGCTCCGGAGCCTGCTGAAAACTCTCAGGACCTAGGCTCCACTTCCAGCCTGGGACCCGGCATCTCTGGGCCTCGAGGGCAGGCCCCGGACACTCTGAGCTACTTGGACTCTGTAAGCCTCATGTCTGGGACCTTGGAGTCCTTGGCAGATGATGTGAGCTCCATGGGCTCAGACTCGGAGATAAATGGGCTGGCCCTGCGCAAGACGGACAAGTATGGCTTCCTTGGGGGCAGCCAGTATTCGGGCAGTCTGTGAGTACCCAGTGGGCACCCAGTGGGACTGCTTCAGGGAAGCAAAGGTTGGGGAGGAGGAAATGATACACCTTGCCCAGACTCTGGCAGCCCAGCCTCCTCTGAGGCTCCAGGGGAGTGGCTCCAGCAGGAGTGAGATACTTGGTGATCCCTATCATGCCTAGAACATCCTGAGGTTTTGGTGGCACTTGCATGTTAGGGTTCCAGGAGTTCTGGGTCTGAGCTTTGCTTTTAGTGTGTTGTGTGCCTTGAGCTAGTGTCTTCCCTATTTCCGTGCCTCAGTTTCCTTCTCTATAAAGTGAAAGGTTGAGTGACATGATACCTAAGGTCGTCCCAGGTCCTTGATGTGAAACTCCAGCTGTGGGCCAGATATTCTGGAAGGCTGGCTGGGCAGGGGTTCTGGTAGAGATCTTTGGTCCCTGAGGGGGAAGGAGTCTGGGAGGGATGCAGGCGTCTCCCCTCCCCCATAGCCCTAGGTCTGATGGGGCAGTGAGATGGGGAAGTCTGGTTGATGGAGGGGAGACCCTGAAGGCAAGGCTCCCCTGCAAAACAGAGAAGGGCAGTCTTGTGTTCTTAGAAGGAAAGGGTTGGGGGAGGCCTCTTCCCCATTTCCTCATCTCCCCAGCCCGGCTTACTCTTTCCTAGTTCCCTCCAGGGGCCTGAGTCACTCCTGATGTAGGGGTGTGATTGCCTCTGACTTCTTCCTTCCCTCTCTCTGGATCCTGTGCATTGTTCCTGTACCTCTTTAACCTGCTGGTCAGTTTAACCTACAACATCACCGGAGCACCCAGGTTCCAGACCCTGTGCTGGATAAAATAGTTGTTTCAAGGCGCTCATCATCTGGAGGGAGAAACAAATACTTCAAGAGTTGGTTTCAGTATAAGGTTTAGCGTAGAGATCATCACAGGATTTTGTGAGCACCTAGGGAAGGGATCTTTTTGCCCACTCAGAAGTCAGCTGAGGCTGGTCTGAATGCTGACTAAATGTAGGATTTAGTTGTGTATGTGTGTGTTGGGGTTGGGGGAAACACTTGGGGGGATATTCTAAGCATGTTTTATAATCCAACAGAAACCCAAAAACCTTTGATTGAGCACCAACATTCATGGTCTTAGGAAGGCAACTGAAGTTTGACCTTGGTGTTTTCCCATGCACGGAGGAAGCATTGTACGCAATTTATAGGTGAAGAAACAGGATTGAAGCAGTTGAGTGAATTGCCCCACTCACATCTGGATCTGTGTGACAGGCTTTCTCAATACCATGCTGCCCTAAGGAGCTTGGATTGAATTACATTTTAGTGAGCCGCTCTTGTGTGCCAGGCACCCGTGCTGGTTGCTGTTTCTATGTTTTGTAATTTTGTCCCTCTAAAATCTTGTCTTCTGTGCTGGAGGAATATACTTCTGAGGTAAGACCGGGGCACATGTTACCTTAAAAGCTTGTAGTGGCTCCCCACTGGCCACAGGATGAAGTCCCAAGTGCTTTATTCTGCAGATAGGCTCCTTAGTATCTGGCTTTGCCAGCCTTTCTGGTGTTCTCTGTCACCACTCCTAACCGTGTACTTAGTACTGTGGTCCTGTTGAACGGATTGTAGTCTTTCCACGTTCCTACGCAGGCTTTCCCACCTGCCAGGAATGCCTTTCTCCCCCTTCCTGTCTTAGTATGTTCTACTCAGTCCTTCATGGCTTATAACTCAGACATCTCCTCCTCCTCCAGGAAGCCTTTTCTGATATCCACTGTCCCTACTTCAGTCGGTGCCTCTTCTGTGCATTTTTATCATTGCATTTCCCATACCACATTGCAGTGATCTCCCCTGCAAGCTTGTGACCTTCTTGAGGGCAGGAAAGATATTATCTTAGTCTTCCTGATCCTTAGTAGAGTTTTGAACTGACTTAGATAGAAATTAATGAGAGGTGTTCAGGGGGCTTCTAAGACAAAAGAAACCAATACTTAAAGAGCCCTTCCATTTACCAGTCCTTTATATAGTTTCTCGGTAGTCCTCTCATAACTTTGTGATGTAGGTGGTGACATCGCTTTTTTATAGGAGAGGAAGAGACTCAGGTTATTATTTGCCAAGATTCCCCAACTTCTAATAGATGGAACTGGGACTTGAGCTCAGGTCTGTCTGGAAACGCAAGCTCTTTCTTCCATTCACCTCCTGGTACTGGCTCCTACAAGTAACTGTTTCAAGACTCATGGGGCATCTTGAGTGTGAGGCTGTGACAGAACAGTGGGCAAACAGTGCAAGGAAAACTTCATTTGCTTGGGAATCTAGGGTGATGTCAGGGAGGAGGAGGTAGAGGGGATTGCAGATGGCCCAGGAGATCTCAAGAGTCTGAAAGGAGGAACAGATAGTTGCTTCTAAGGAGGCAGAGAAATATATTCTGTATTTTCTTTTATGGATAATAATTGCCAATACGGAGCACTTGCTGTTTGTTCTCTCCTATAACCTCTGCATCTTACAAATGTGGAAATTGAGGATCAGAGGAATTCAGTGACTTGTCCAAGGTCACACAATGAGTAAGTGGTAAAGCTAGAACTTGGACCCAGGTCTAATGCAAAGTGTGGTTTTTAAATATTCTGTACCCTCTCCCCAAACTTGTATGTGCCATAAGCAGGATTTGAACACACCCAGCATGTATAGAGATCCAACATGAGAACACAAGCTCTGTACAGGGATTCCTTCTAAAGAGAAGTCCTTTCAGTGTGGTAAGCTAGACCGTGGATGGCTAAGCGGCCAGATGTCCTGATATTTGGTAGCTCACAGTCTCTCATTTGAAATCGGGGAGGTGGCTTGCTTCAGTTCCGCCAGCAATCCATGTTTTACACTACCACTCCTGACCCCTTCCATGCTCCCTTCATCCTGCAGAGAGAGCTCCATTCCTGTAGATGTGGCTCGGCAGCGGGAGCTCAAATGGCTGGAGATGTTCAGTAACTGGGATAAGTGGCTGTCACGGCGTTTCCAGAAGGTTTGGAAGGCTGAGTGGTGGGCAGGGCGATGGACAGGTTGGGAAGGGGGCAGGGAGGGCTCATGTGGTCTGGGGAAGCCATGTTAGCATTTGCTCTCTAGGCCACACTGGGGGCAGGTGGTCCTTGGGCCTGGGGGGAGGAGTAGCTTTAAAGATAGAAGGCCAGACCAGGTCCAGTGGAGCCAAGCCAATGGGATGTGTGAGGGGTGTGCCAGGAAGCCCGATGACTGCTGGGGAAAGCCTGGAGGCTCTGCCAGCCCCTGGAGCTGCTGCCCTGCCTGCCGTTCTGTCTTAGGTGAAGCTGCGCTGCCGGAAGGGGATCCCCTCTTCCCTCAGAGCCAAGGCCTGGCAGTACCTGTCCAATAGCAAGGAACTCCTGGAGCAGAACCCCGGCAAGTTTGAGGTGTGTCCAGGGTATGGGGATGTGACATGGTGTGAAGGGTATCATCAGTCCCCTCCAGATCCTGAGCTAATCCCTGCTGTCCCACTGCAGGAGCTGGAACGGGCACCTGGGGACCCCAAGTGGCTGGATGTAATTGAGAAGGACCTGCACCGCCAGTTCCCTTTCCATGAGATGTTTGCTGCTCGAGGGGGGCATGGGTGAGATGGCCTGACCGCGTGGGTCAGTCAGCCAACATTGGTAGAAGGCTCCAGGTGGAGACAGGGCTGGGTTGAAAGCAGTTCTTGCTCTCCAGGGCTTCTAGGAGAGTGGTCCTTCATGGACTGAGTGCCAAGCCATGTTGAAGGAAGCGTCCTGGGAGGGAGATTCTGACTTGGGGCTGGGGGGCTGCTGGAGGGGGTACAGGAGGCACAACGACGTATCAAAGAGATCGCATTTGAACTGGGTTTTGAAGGATAGATGGGAGCAGAGCAGGGGGCAGGTTTTTCCTGGTCGGGGGTTTATGTGAGCTCTGTCTGGGATGTGCGATTGGGTAGAGCTGAGGCTGGAGAAGCAGTTTAGGGCCAGATCACCAAAGGCCCTTAAAAACTGTTCCCAGGCACTTGTGCTTTTGTTCTGTATGCTAGGCTTCCTCAAGATGTATATATATGAGTCCTTAGTAACATGCAAGATGGTATTAGGTGGCTCGCAGGTGGACTTTTTTCATCAGTTGGTTCATCTTTTCAGCAAACACTTAATACCTGCTATCTGCCAGGCACTGGTCTAGCCACAGATGACAGCAGTTAACAAGAGACAAAAACTCCTGCCGTTATGGGGCTTATTACATTTTAGTGGGGATAGACAATACATAAATAAGACAAAGAAGGAAAAAGTATGTTGCATGTGAAATGGTATGAAAGAGGAGTTTAAAGCAAGAAAGGGGAATAGAGAATGCGAACGGAGATGGGGTTACAAGTGATCTGATCTGATTTGTGTCTTGAAAGGATCGTTCTGGCTGCTGTGCTGAGAATAGACTAGGGAGACAAGGACAGAAGCAGAGAGACCCTTTAGGAGACCATTTCCGTAATCCAGGAGAGAGACCATGACAGATAGACCAGATTGGTAGCCATGGAACTATGGGGAGAAGTGGTTGGGTTCTGGGTATATTCTGAAGGTAGAGCCAAAAGGATCTGCCAACAGATGGATCTGCCAACAGATGTGTGTGAGAGAGAGTGAGCACAATTAAGGCTGACTCTAAAGGTTTTGGGCCTGAGAAACTAGAAAAATGGAATTGTTGTATACTGATGTGGATGGGGAAAATGGGGATAAAGAAGTTAGAGGGGTACATCGGGAGCTCAGTTTTGGAATATGAGGTTTGAAATGCTAATTGGATGTCCAGATGAAGATGTCAAGTAAGTTGAATGTACACTATATGCAAGCCTGGAATTTGGGGAGAAGTTTAAAGTGAGGGTAAGCTGGAGATTGAGAGTTGTCAGCCTCTAGATGGGACTAAATCTCACCCATGGGACTGGATGAGATCATCAAAGCAGCAAGTGTAGATACGAAAGGAAGCTCAAAGATTGAGCCCTGTTGCTCCAACATTTCAAGAATGGAAAGATGAGAACGAACCAGCAAGGGAGACTAGAAGCAGAAGCTGGAGAGGTAGAAGGAAAACCAGGGCAGTGTGGTTTCTGGAAGCAAATTAAAGAGGGGTTTCAGGACCAGCTGTATGAAATACTGCTGATGGGTCAAGTAAAGTCAAGTCTGCAGATTGACCTCAGGACTCAGCACAGTGGCAGTCATTGGTGACCTCGATAAGGGCAGTTTTGCACGGGGCAGTCGGTTAAAGCCTGACTGCAGAATGGGAGGAAAGAGCTTGATGACAGCGAGTCTGTACCCTGAAGTTTTCGCTGAGTAGGTAAGGAGAAAAATGGTGTTTGGAGGGGAAAGGGGGGTGGTGGTCAAGAGACATTTTTTTAAGCAAGAGGAAATAACAGATGTTGGTATGCCAGTGGGAATGATCTAGTAGGGAGAGAAAAACTGATGATGTAGGAGAGGTGGGAGGCTTGCTGGGGTGATGGCCCGTGTAGGTAAGTGTGGATGGAGTGCAGTGCCCAAGTGGAAAGGCTGTGTTTGGCCAGGACCACAGACGTTTCACCCACAGCAACAGGGGAGAAAAGCAGGGACACGTGCAGGTAGGTAGGTGAATGAAGCATGGGAGCTTGTGGGAATTACATGTTTATTTTAATAGGTATTAGGTAAAATAACTAGTGCATCCAACCTGTCATTTCATGGATGCTATTGCAAAGTGGAGAAAAAAGATTAAGTGAAAAATAGCCGGGAGGTATGCAGATAAAGCACAAATGAAGATCACATTTCAGTGACTGAATTTTGGGATAGAGGAGGTTATTCTTACTTTTTTTCTGGGTAAGAAATAAGGGTCTGAGCTACGGAATGGCTGTGGAGGCAGAGAGAAGGAACAGATATGAATGAAAATCAAGAGGTAGTGTTGAGAAGATTTGGTTTTAGCCATGGGGAGTGATGAAGGGCCCTCTTTTCCAGTGTGGGGCTGACTAAATGGGATTCCCAGACACAGTGATGGGGTGCCCTCAAGAAAGAGGAGCAGGTCTAGGGCAGAGATTTTATTCTTTTGGATGCAGAGACAAGAGAAAGGTTTGAGGCACAGCTGGCTTCCCAGGCCTTCACTGAGGCGTCCCAAGAACCAGGGCCCACTGGACATGGTGATGGGGACCTGATTCAATCCAGTGAGGCAGATGAGGGGAGCCCTGCTCTGGGAGAGCCCCTGCTCCGAGGTACTAAAAACATTCAGACAGTGCGACAGGAGGGCTGATGCTGCGGGCAGTGAAAGCTTCCCGAAGAAGGTGACTTTGAAGGTCTATGGGATGGTGGCAGATGAAGGAGAGAGAGCACAGCCTGTGCGGGGGAATGGGTAGGGAGCCTGTGGGGTGTGCAGGCAAGGTGGAAGGCTGGAATGCTTTGCTTATGGTCGGAGTCTTTGGCTTCACCTTGGTGGGCATCACCAGGAATGCCAGTGGAGGTGTGTGGTGGGGAAGCTCTGAGGTTAATCTGGAACTGGATCTGGGAGGGGTCTGGAATGGGGCTGGTTGGGGGGAGCAGGCTTAGTTTGGGGCAGAGAGCCCCCAACTCCGCTGATTGCCCTCATGGTCTTTCCCAATACCCACAGGCAACAGGACCTGTACCGAATCCTGAAGGCCTACACGATCTACCGGCCCGATGAGGGCTACTGCCAGGCCCAGGCCCCAGTGGCCGCCGTGCTGCTCATGCACATGCCTGCTGAGGTCAGCATACCCTGGTCCTGGCTGGGGAGGGCCTGGGAGGACCTTGGCCTACGGTGGTGATGGGGGAGCACTCTACTCCCTGTTTCTCAGGTCCCATCCCCCCGCCCCTTGTTCTTGCCCTCCTCAGCAAGCTTTTTGGTGCCTGGTGCAGATCTGCGACAAGTACCTCCCCGGTTACTACAGTGCAGGGCTGGTGAGTGTCTGAAGGCTGGGTGCACCCAAGGCTGCAGGGAAGTCCTTGTCCTGCCCCACCTGCTGCCCTTTTGTCCCTTTGCTCTGGGCCTCTCCCACTGAGGTGAGGACCCCCTTCTAGGGACAGTGCTACCCCACGGGGGCCACCGTAGGACTCTTCTCATGGCCTCTCCCACCTGCAGGAGGCCATTCAGCTGGACGGAGAAATCTTTTTCGCGCTGCTGCGCCGGGCCTCCCCGCTGGCACACCGGCACCTGCGGCGGCAGCGCATTGACCCCGTGCTCTACATGACCGAGTGGTTCATGTGCATCTTCGCCCGCACCCTGCCCTGGGCGTCAGTGCTGCGTGTCTGGGATATGTTCTTCTGTGAAGGTACTCTGGAGCCACTCAGGCCATGAGGGGTCTGGGGTTTCCACGGTGGCTGCCAGAGAGGGGCCTGCTGCCAGAAGGTACGTCTGAGGGCTAGGCTTCCCTGTCTGCAGTCCGGGGGCTGGAGAAACTGGGGCCTGGTCTTGGCTCTGCCATCATTCCGGAGCCCACTCTCCCTCCCAGGAGCCTGAAACCCACGGCAGCTCATTTCCCTCCGTGGGGCCTCCATTTCCTCATCTGTGAGGATGGCAGTAAGACAGGGATAGGGCCTGTGAGTCCCTTCTCAATGGGACGGGCTGAGATCCCAGCCCTGATCTTTTCTGTGCCCTTGCAGGCGTCAAGATCATCTTCCGGGTGGCCCTGGTGCTGCTGCGGCACACGCTGGGCTCGGTGGAGAAGCTGCGCTCCTGCCAGGGCATGTACGAGACCATGGAGCAGCTGCGCAACCTGCCCCCGCAGTGCATGCAGGAGGACTTCCTGGTGCATGAGGTAGGCCGCAGCCTGAGTCCACCCACACCTGCTTCAGCGTGTCCCCGCCCTCCCCTTCACTCTCCCCGTTCCTTCTCGGTCTAGGTGACCACCCTCCCGGTGACAGAAGCACTGATTGAGCGAGAGAACACGGCCCAGCTCAAGAAGTGGCGGGAAACCCGGGGGGAGCTGCAGTATCGGCCCTCTCGGCGACTACACGGCTCCCGGGCAATTCATGAGGAGCGGCGGCGGCAGCAGCCACCCCTGGGCCCCTCCTCCAGCCTTCTTAGCCTCCCTGGCCTCAAGAGCCGAGGTTCCCGGGCAGCCGGGGGGGCCCCCTCTCCACCCCCTCCTGCCCGCAGGGCCAGCGCTGGACCTGCCCCAGGGCCTGTGGTCACCGCTGAGGGACTGCATCCATCCCTTCCTTCGCCTACTGGCAACAGCACCCCACTGGGTCCCAGCAAGGAGACTCGAAAGCAGGAGAAGGAGCGGCAGAAACAGGAAAAGGAACGTGAGAAGGAACGGCAGAAACAGGAGAAAGAACGGGAAAAGCAGGAGAAGGAGCGGCAGAAGTGGGAAAAAGAGCAGGAGAAGGAGCGGCAGAAGCAGGAAAAGAAGGCCCAAGGCAGGAAGCTCTCGCTGCGTCGAAAGGGAGAAGGAGCGGCAGAAGCAGGAAAAGAAGGCCCAAGGCAGGAAGCTCTCGCTGCGTCGAAAGGCAGATGGGCCCCCGGCCCCTCAGGATGGTGGGGACAGGTCCTCGGCATCTGAGGCCCGGCAGGATGCTTACTTCTGACATCTGTCTCGGGGCTGGACTGCACGGCCTCCCTCTTTTTTTCCTCAGTCAAGAGCAGGCCTGGCCTGGGGTGCTGCCCCGAGCTTCTTGGGCAGATCGTCACTCTTTCTGGGGAAAGCAGTTTGGCTCCCCATCTCCTTGCCAGCTGCTGGTCCCTACACAGCTGGGACAGTGAGTGCAGGGGCAGCTGCCTTTCCTCAGGGCAGCCGTGAACAAATCTGGAGCCCCCTCACCTCCGTTGGGCCCAGCTGGGGTTTCTGTCACTCCTGCCCCAGTTCCCTCTGGGGTCCTTCCCAGGTGCAGTCCTGATTGGCCTTTTGTCACCTCAGGGGTGACTCGGCGATGGGAATCAGCAGTTTTCAGATTCTTACACCAGTTTCTCCCCTTACCCGTGAGTGGAGCTGGGTTCCTTCTTCCCTTCTTCAGCTCTGCCGGTCTCCCCCCCTGCCTAGGGGCCGAGGTTCTCCTCGCTCTACTTGTGGACATCTCTCTGTTGTAATTATGTGCAGAGGACCTGGTGGGTCCAGGGTGGGGGTGTTCGCTCTATCTTCTGTCCTTTAGTTCTCCTTCCACAATGTTCTTGCACTCGTTTATTTAAGGGGACATGCACTGGAACAGGCCATGTCCCCCCTCTCCCCACCCGCCATCCTCCTTTCTTTCCTCTTCACCCACCTTCCTGTGTATTCTCAGGCTTCTGCTTTGTCTCCACCAGGGTCCCCACCTTTTACCTTGTTTCCCCTGCAGCCCCTATCTGGGGAAGGGGTCTTCCCTTGAGCTCCAGGGGGTGGAACCCAATGTTTACATTCTCTTCTGTCTCTGCTCCCACCCTGTGCGGCGCTTTGAGGAACCAGAAAAGAACCTGCTGTTGTACCTGGGCCTGTCTCCTGCTTTGTTATTTGATGATGGGGGTTAGAATTAAGGACCGGGCAGGGGGTGGGACACAATGGAGCAGGCCTGGATCTGGGTGTCTCCTGAAGCAGTTGGCTGGTCTTGGCAGGTAGGTACCTCTTGGTCTTTGGTCCATCTTTCAGTCACTCATCAACAGCTGCTGAGCTCCTGCTCCTCCTCTGCCTGGGATCTGCTGCTTCCATTGGCACTGGCCTGGGGCCTTCTACGTACCACCTGCAACACCCGGATCTCCTTCCCAAAGTGCTCGTGCAACTCCTGGAAGCTGGAGGGGGTACTGAGGGTGGCTAGGAAGCCACAGTCCTCTGGGGGTGAGCTGGGCTCCTGGCCAGCTGCCTGGCACAGCTCCCGGTACCGGGCCTCCAGGGGGGGCAGTAGCACCACCAGCCGCCTCCAGCTCGCCCCAGCCAGCGCCCACAGCCAGGCTCCCAGCTCTTCCTGGTTTTCTGCTGCTAGCTTGTAGGCCCGCCCACCTGTGCCCTTAGCCCTGGGGGTCAGGATGGTAAAGGCATAGGGTTCTGTGGCCCCAAGGCGTGGCTCCACCTGGCTGTTTTCCAAGAGAATGAGGCCCAGGGGGGTGTGATCTGCCTGGTTCTCCAGGTAGAAGAGGAGGTTTCCCCGGAGGATGAACCAGCGGCGTTGATAGCTGGTATTTCGGGTTCCCTTCTTTAGCAAGATGCCCTCCCGGTCTGGAGCCTGTGTTCTGCATCCACGGAAGAAACTGAGCACGGACTTTCGGTGCAGTTTCATGGTAGTCCAATCGGGGAGTAAACCCTGGGGGTCAGGAGAGAGGAGGATTGGTCCTAGCCCAGTGGGATTTAAGACTCTGTCCTCAAGAGGTAACGGTCTTGTCCCCACAGCACTGGGACCCACACCTCCCACCTCCAGCTCTGCCCTTTGGGCCAGTTTACAGACCTTGGGCATGGGACGCTGGCCTGGGCCCCTATTTGCCTGCGGCTGTGGTTCGAGAGAGGCACCGTTGCCCTTTTCCAGGCCTACCTCAGATCAGGACACAAGAGACTTCTGGCCTGGGTACCGGGCACAGGTATCACCGTCACCTTTCCGGTGATGGCTCTTTCCACCTCAGAAACCGGGAACTCGCCCAAGGGATAGGCGTGGGGTAAATGACTTCCCCTGGGTCCTAAAGAGAGCTGGGTTCGGTAAATGTTCCCAGAGCCATCCGGGGCCTCCAGGCGGGCCATCAGAACCGGGCCTCTCCTCAGGAAGAAGAGCAAGGCCGCACCTAGGAGTAGGACAGGATAGAACTGGACGCTGAATGGAAAAGCAGGATTCCCAAGGAGATGGTGAAGGGCGCAAAGCTCTTGGCCAACCCTGGGGAAGGGTGACTCAACCCTGGAAAGGGAAACAGGCCGAAACCGACTGTCCCACTCTGGTCTTCCATCAAGGTCCCGGGCGCCCCTTTAAGTAGCGTGTGCTCCACTTTCTCCCCAGAGCCTCTAACTGCTGTAGGAGGGAGTCGGAACCGCAACCGGCCATCCCTCTCGTCTCATCAGGATCTAAGCGTTCATACGTCCCCTGTTCTCGCCATTGTCGCCCACGCTGCTCACGTCACTCTGGGCAGGGCAGCGCGGTCTTCCCCGCTCACGGCGCACTTCCGCCCGTTTCTCCACTTAGTCCTCTAACCCAAGTGAAGCCACTTCCGGCTTTCTCTGACGCCTTCCGCAGTTCTCTTCCGGGTGATGGCGGCCGGTGCCCCGGACGTAGCCCCGGTGAAAGCCTCTCTCTTTTTCTTTCCCCTCAGCCTGCCGTAGATCCTTAGGTGAGCGCGCGCTGGTGGGGTCCTCGAGTCCCCGCGGTTCTGCCGCCCCTCTGATTTGTCTGCTTAGCCCGGGACAGTTGGTGGTTACCCCGCGGAGTTGGGAGTTCGGCGCGGGGAGGAGGGGGGCGGCCAGGACGCCAGGTCCTGGGTCCGCCCGGGCCCCGCGGGCTCTGAGGGAGCTGGGGGTGTAGGAGCGGGTGTCAGCCCGCGGAGCCCCGTCGCATCCAGCACTGCGGGGGCCAGGAATGGGGGGTGCGTGTGGGGGGAGCCTGTCTCCTTTCGTCAAGGGTGGGGGTTGCCTGTGGGAAGCCTCTCCGCGCGTCCGCCTCTCCGGCCTGTCTCCAGCGACTCTTTTGGACCAAACCAAGTCCCGGGGGCCACCTGGCTGCCAGCTTCCCTTTCGGCCCCTGATTCTGTGCTCCCTCTCCTCCCAAACTGGATCTAGTGCGTACCAGGTGATAATTTGTTGTGCTGGGGGCCCTTCGGCGGTGAGTAGCCTCGCCCAGTTCCCTTAATCTGCACCCTTTCACCTCGGCTCAGCTTGGGGAAGGCCCCTCTGTGCAGTCATGCCAAAGAGGAAAGTGACCTTCCAAGGCGTAGGAGATGAGGCTGATGAGGATGAAATCAGTGTCCCCAAAAAGAAGGTGAGGGGGCCAGACTCCTGCATTGTGGGGAGGAGTGAGGGGAGGGAAGAGGAACTTGAAGCTAGAAGAGAAAGAAAGCCCGTGGGGACAAAGGACGCGTAGAAAGGGCTAGCTTTTCCATGTTCTCTGGGAAATGGGTTTGGAGAATTTTCAGTCCGAGAAGGCTTTGAAGAAAAACGTCCGTAGAGTATTTTGAGGAATCGTCAGTAACCTGCCTCTCTCCACTTGCTGGCTCCTCCTCACAGCTGGTGGATCCTGTGACCGGGGCAGGGGGTCCTGGGAGCCGCTTCAAAGGCAAACACTCTTTGGACAGCGATGAGGAGGATGATGATGAGGAGGGGTCCAGCAAATATGACATCCTGGCCTCAGAGGATGTGGAAGGTGAGCTAAACCCAAGAACTGAGGCTGCTGGAGGAACAGGGCTTCAGGGGATGTGGGGCAAGGAAGGCTTTTGTCTCTTATCGCTTGCTCAGCATGGGACACCTCTGTGTTCGGTGCAGGTCAGGAAGCAGCCACACTCCCCAGTGAGGGAGGTGTGCGGATCACACCCTTCAACCTGCAGGAAGAGATGGAGGAGGGCCACTTTGACGCCGATGGCAACTACTTCCTGAACCGGGATGCTCAGATCCGAGACAGCTGGCTGGACAACATTGACTGGGTGTGGCCCAGGGGTTGACACGGCTGGGGGCCTGGAAGCAGCAAGTGCTGGGCTTGGGCCCTGCTTACCGTTTGTTGGAGATAACACTCCCCTGTTTTCATATCACAGGTGAAGATCAGGGAGCGACCACCTGATCAGCGCCCGCCGTCAGACTCAGAGGGAGAGGACAGTCTGGGCCAGACACCAATGAGTGCCCAAGCTCTCCTGGAGGGCCTTCTGGAGCTGCTCTTGCCAAGAGAGACAGTGGCTGGGGCACTGAGGCGTCTGGGGGCCCGAGGAGGAGGAGGAGGCAAAGGGGGCAGCAAGGGGGCTGGGCGGCCTAGTTCCCCCCAGCGCTTGGATCGGCTCTCTGGGTTGGCTGACCAGATGGTGGCCCGGGGCAACCTTGGTGTATATCAGGAGACAAGAGAACGGTTAGCCATGCGGCTGAAGGGGTTGGGGTCCCGGACCCAGGGACCCCCTGAGCCCACGCCCCCACCCACTCTGGACATGTTTGCTGAGGAAGTGGCAGAGGGGGAGCTGGAGACCCCAACCCCTACCCAGAAGGGAGGTAAGATTGGAAGGCAGAGGAGGGGTGATGGGGGCAGGGGGCAGGGCACTTGAGGCCCAGCTGGCTTTGCCTGTTGTTTTAGAAGCAGAGTTGCCAGGAGACGGTCTGGTGGACGTGATGTGGGAATATAAGTGGGAGAACACAGGGGATGCTGAGCTTTACGGGCCCTTCACCAGCACCCAGATGCAGGTACGCCCCTTCCTGCTTCCTTCTGCCGCTGCTCTCCGTCCCCCCACCCACATCAGATCTCTCCCAGCTCCGCTTTCTTTGTTTTCCCGCAGACCTGGGTGAACGAAGGCTACTTCGCAGATGGTGTTTATTGCCGGAAGCTGGACCCTCCCGGTGGACAGTTCTATAACTCCAAACGCATTGACTTTGACCTCTATACCTGAGCCTGCCGAGGGCCCAGTTTGATGTTTTCTTTCCTGGACTCTCTGGAGGAGGCCCCAGCTGCCTCAGGCA